AAGGCAATAACTCTCAGAGGTTCTGATATCATTGACAGCAAAACAGGCTTCAGATGTGCTAACGTCAAAGTCAGCACTTGGCTTTTCCCTGTACTAATTATAACATCTGCAATTCTGTTGTTATTCCACAAAACAGGAAACATATTTGGAACAGATCCAGCAAATGTAAAAAAATGTTTCAGAGGTCAGAACCAACAAGGTCACAGGCAAGTCCTATACTGGCTCAGAACGTTCTGAGGTATGAAAATCCTCAGAATATAACAGCAACAACATGATATTTACATTATGTTTATTTGAGTATGCACAGCTGATGATGCTTAGCAGCGTGATGAAGGTCAGCAGGTGCTTACCTGGCTGTTGGAAAAGTTTGTGGGTGAAAGCTAGCTTTTGGCTCTGGTGGTGTTCTGGACAGATTCTCTTTGAAAAGGGTAGGTAAAGGTGTATGCGTACGTAGGGTCAGAAGTTTGGAAAGGGTGTTTTTGGTTCACAAAGAAAACTGGGTATTTGATGAAGTTTGAAGGTAAGAACTTCAAAGTTATGAAACAAACTGGAGATTTCGGCAGAGTTTCAGGACGCTATATTGCTAAGGGTGGCTGTTTCTCTCTTAGCAATTTTTTTGTTTCTTTTCTGAACCCCTTTTGCAGTGGACAATGACTCTCTATTTATAGGCAAAGTTATTGTGGGTGTCTTGAACATTAAAGCGCCAACAGAGTTTGAATTGCTCTTTGACAGAAATTCCTAGGAAGTTGTGATAACAGATAGCCTTCAGCCTAGGCTGCAGCAGCAGGCGTAGATTGGGGAGAAGTGACCTCTGAAGTGGGCGGTGGCGCGTAGACCCATGCCAGAATCTGCACAAAAGCGTTTTCCCAGCCACACGTGAATGTTCAGGAGTGGTTGGAAGCATTAATGGGCATTAAATGGTGATAAGACCTATCAACATCAATATTCTGGTAATGGAAACCAACGTTGAATCAGCAGTTCTGTTTCAAAAAGAACAGCGTAAACCATGCTCTGGCCCTGGCTTCCTGTTGTCTTAGTAAGCTCTGGAGATTCTCCTGATTTTCTGATACGTTCCTTGGATTTACCTCTGGGTCTCCTGGGCTTGGAGGTTCTGTATCAGTGTAACACCCACTCTTCTGATCTTTCATCTTCTGATTTCAGCATGTTCTGAAAGAGCCTTCAGACTTCCCTGCTCCTCTTGTATTCCTTTAGCAAATTCTGACTGCTTGTGTAACTGCTGAAAGGGGCATGTTCTGTCTGAGGCTTACATACTGAACCACGTTTACAACTTCTGATTGAACTGATGTAGCTGCTGAAAAGCCAACTTCTGACCACGCTGAGCCAAGCTTGCAACTTCTGACCGTTTTTATCTGGAATGGGTCCAGAAGTTCTGAAGCGCTGACTTTTTTCTTAAACACTCATTTTTTAGAGAAACGTTCTAAGTACTTAGAATTTGATTTTTCTCAAGATAAAAGCGTTGTTTTTGGAGCTCGTGAGATCATCTTGCTCTTGTAAGTGGCGTGCTTGGGCAAAAAAGGATAACTCAGGACTTGGATTTGTTTCAGAGGGACCTTGAAAATCCAAGATGGTTTCCTGAAGAAAGAGAGGGCAAATTTTGGGGTACAACAGCTACAAAACTCTTTTCAAAGATTTTGTGTTTACTTAGAAGAGATTGATACCTTTTCATTAATTTAGATAAACCAATTTCAAGTTTAGAATGAGATAAGAAATAAAGTACCTCTTTGTCATCATTAGAGTCTGACTCATAGTTAAGTGTCAATTTGTCTTCTGATGCTGCTTCTCCCTTGTTGGTCCTAGCCATGAATGTCATATTTGCATACTTTTCATCAGAATTTTCATCTTCTGATTCTAAATCATCCCATATTTCCATGAGACCCTTCTTAGCTTTATAAGCCTTTTTAGGCTTCTTGTCTTTCTTGAGCTTTGGACAATCATTTTTGTAATGTCCAGGCTCATTGCATTCAAAGTAAGTAACTTATTTTCCAAAAGAATTCCTCTGACTGGAAGTGGGCTCACCTCTTCTATATGTCCTTCGTGGACCTCTGAACTTGCTTTGTTTATGCTTCCAGATTTGACTTATTCTTCTAGATATCAGAGAGAGTTCATCATCTAAATCTTCTTCAGATTTTTCTGATTCTTCCTTATCTTGACAAGCCTTGGTTTTCACAGAAGTAGACTTTAGAACAACTGATTTTACCCTCTTCTGAGGTTCATCTTGTTCCAGCTCTATTTCATGACTTCTTAAAGAGCTAATCAGCTCCGTAACAGAGGTGTTGTTCAAATCCTTTGCCAATTTTAAAGCAGTCACCATTAGTCTCCATTTGACAGGCATACTTCTGATAATCTTTTTAATGTGATCTATAGTGGAGTAACCTTTATTCAGCATGTTAAGTCCTGCCACAAGAGTCTGAAATCTTGAAAACATTGTTTCCACAGATTCGTCGTCTTCCATCTTGAAGGCTTCATACTTTTGAATTAAGACCATAGCCTTTGTTTCTTTTACTTGTGCGTTTCTTTCATGCATCATTTGAATAGAATCAAAGATAGACTTTGTAGTGATTTCTGCATACTTTCTTCTATGATTCCGTCATTGCACTTCTTGCAATCTTATGACCTTTATCATCTACTAGGTGAGTGTAGCCATCAACTACCAAGTCTCATAGATCCAAGTCATATGCTAGATAATAACTTTCTATTATATCCTTCTAATAGTCAAATTTCTCCCCATCAAACATATGAGGTTTTGAACTATAATGATCTCTATCATTATCTCTATTATCAATAGTAGAAGTATGTGTAGCCATTGGTTTTTCACATACAATGGATTGGTACTGGATATTGTTAAGTGTTGATAAAAATTCAAACTTTTTATCTCCTCATAATCGGAGCTATGATACCTATTGAAGGTGTGAAAAACACCAGACAATGAGGGTTTGAATTGGGTTTTTAAAACCAAAAACTTTTCTTTATAAATATTTCCCTTTAAGTTAAAATACATTTTCCTTCACTCTTGATAATAACAATAAGTAAGAACAGGAAGAAAAGAACAATGTATGTTTATACTAGTTCACTTGAAAATTATCAAGCTAGTCTAGTCCACCCGCCAAGGTGATTTCGCCTCACTCAATCGAGAACTTAATTCATTACAACCAAAATGATTACAATTTGTATAAGCTACCCGCAAGTGACAAACAATCTTTAAGACTCGCAAGTCCTAGACTTCTTAAGGATACAAACCTACCCGGTCCCTTAAGGAATATCAAACAATAATTAAACCGATTATTACAATGCACAAGCTACCCGCAAGTGACAAACAACCTCTAAAACTTACAATTCCTAGACTTCTTAAGAATAAAGACCTACCCGGTCCCTTAAGAAAAATCAAACAACCGTTTGAAAAAAAGTTTTATTTACAAGAGTATTGCTTCTACACAAGCTGAATATGTAAACTATTTTAAGAATAATAACTAAAGAATATGAAAGCTATGAACAACGTTTGCGCATGAATATTTCGTTGATTGACTGCTTTCTCTTAGTCTTCAAGTCTTTATATAGCCAATAAAATAATATATTCGTTGAGGGGTACTCTTGAGATTTCCAGAAACATTGGCAGCTTGAATAATAACGTGGGGGACAAGATCGTGCGATGCGTCCGTTCTTTCATGGTAGTGGAATGAAACATTGATTGTACCATGTACTATTTATACCACGTTAACGTTATCTTCTTTCCTTCTACACTTCAAAGGCTTCTACAATCATGAATTTAGAAGCGGGAACATAACACAAGGTCATCAAAACTTCAAGTCTTCAGAGTCTTCAGAACTGTGTCTTCAGAGTCTTCAACACTTGGTTGTGAGAACCTTTTCTTAGAACCTTGGGTTTTTAAGTCTTTAAAATCTTTAAAACTTCTGTCTTTAGAGTCTTCAGCACTTGGTCTTTAGAATCCTTATCTTTAGAACCTTGTTATTAAAAACACAACTCTTCAGCATCTGGACTTCAGTAAAAAAATTATCTTCAGGTCTTCTAACTTTGTTTCTTTGGAACAGACTGTCTTTAAAAACTTGAGTCTTTAGCATTTGGACTTTAGTAGAAACTTGAGTCTTCAGATCTTCTGACTGTTTCCTTAGAACACGTTGTATTTAGAAGGTTGAGTCTTTAGCATTTGGACGTAAGTAGAAACTTCTGTCTACAGATCTTCTGACTGGTTTCTTTAGACAAACATCAGAACTTACACTTTAGAGCCTTCTAGAATGTCTTGTTACTGTTCAACAAAACTTGTGTAGCGCATAAGCGAAATTAATTCTCTTCGAATGTCTTGGTCACGTCATCCATCAGAAGTAGAACCTGTTTGTTATCATCAAAACTCAAAGATAATATTGCAGAACCAACTCTTATTTTACAAAAACCTTGTCCTTGACATCACTTTCTACATAGTAAAGATATCCATGAAAGTAAAGACATACGTAGAAACAAAGTTATTGCTTAATGGTTCCTTTAAGGGATTGTAAATGGCATATTGCTTCAAAAAGGGATGTTGGGGAGTATTTCACATAGAAACAAAGAGAACTTTTATTCTCCTAGTCAAGATTTTTGTTCTTTTAGTCATGTTCTAAATAAAACTAAATGTTTCATTGTTATTTATAAAATTTCCACTGCATTCTTGTTAAACCAGTTTGTAAACTAGCTTTGAATTTATAGAACATTTCTTTACTTCAAGATTTTAATTGCTGGATTGCACTGTTGAATATTGTGAAATAACATTCTATATTGTAGCAATACATTTTTGTAGTCCTTTTTCCTAATAGGTTATCACATTGAAGCAATTTATTTGAACTCATAATAACAGCCAAAAATATATTAAAAAAAAGGTATCACTGAATAATCAAAATAAGTTTTGATTGATGAAACCTGAAATAAAATAAAATGATCAACAAAATCTTTAATCAATTGATCAGGAATACATAGAATGATTTGCTCACTTAAGATGATCCTTTCTGGAAAGAGTAACTTTGCCTATAAAAAGTTACTAACTTTTTGACATAATCTAACTCTTCCTCACACTTCTTTATCATATCTTGATACTCCATAATAACCCTAACATATTCAACAACTTGAGTACCGTTAACATCATGAGGAATGATATCACCAAGATTGTTAAACATTGGAGTTTGAGAACTAGTAGAAGGTACAGAAGAAGGATCCATGGAAAAATCAGGTAAGAGATTATGTTGTTGAAATAGCTTACACAAACTTAGTACCTTTTTTACTCGATCCAGCTCTTCTGCAAAATTCTGTATCATACTTTGATACTCGTTAATAACACCGAGACATCCATGAACCGGGAATTTAGCACGAATATCCGACTCAAAAATTATTGACTTCATTGCATCATCTTTTTCGTCTTCATCACTAATCGTCTCTAGAGTCTTCAACATTCTTGAAAAGCCGAACAACCTATGAGCATTGGCGAACATTTTTGGTTTATCGGCCGGAAAATAAGGAGCGAAAGGGCAATTTGGAGAACACCTAAATCTTCGATGTTGGCAGCATGCACATGCACATGCACATTTCTTGGAAATGTCCATTAGGAGGAGTGAAATGGTTACCGGCAAAAGAATGTAAAAGGAGAAAGAGAGAGTGTTTTTGGTTATGATGAGTAAAATGGTTAGTTATCTCTACTTAAGAAATGGTCATAACTCCCATAAAAATTAGTTACTTATTGTTACTAAGTAGTTTTGAAGTTACAATTCTTGAATATGTTAAAAGATTTTGATCAGTAATCTTGTCAAGAAAAAAAGAGAGAAAGATTTTGATTACATAAGTAACTAAACAAAAAGTCAAAATACAAATAGATTAATGGCTTATGCAAAAAAAAAAAATTGATTGATTAATTAATTAGTTAGTTACCAACTTACCATTTTTCAAGTGTTAGTTGCAGTTCTATTGAAGTCTTAATTAAGAGTTACTGCCTTTTTAAGAGTTAATTACAATTCTATTATAGATTATACTCATTTGTTATCTTATCAAGCTTCAAACTTATATTAGTTAAATTATTTTTGCACAATCTCTTTTTCGATTTAGCAGTGGTTTTCTTCTTCTATTTCAATAACAATTTTTTTAAAAAAATCAAAGATATAATTGTGAATTATTATGAACTGTATTCTGCTTATAGGGTTTATATCTAAATTATATATTTGTGAAAGTTTTTAAAATAGTCTTCTTAGTCATTAGCTTCTAAGCATATTGACCTAAACAAATACCGACATGGCAATGTTTCAGCGAGTTATTATGTGATTCATAATTTTTGAAAAAAAATTATCAATAATAATAATAAGGGTTAAATAAGTTTTTGGACAATTTAAATATCTTAAATTTCGTTTTTAATTTTTCTAAAATTTTTCTTTAAAAAATGGTCATTTTAAAAAATTAAATTTTAACTTTTGGTTCCTCAGCGACGATTTTTACAACTTAGCGACGATTTTAACGACGGTTTTAATTTAACAACGAAATTAGAGATCATTTTAATTACGATTTTGTCTGGAGGTACCAAAAGTTAAAATTTAATTTTTTAAAAGGACTATTCTTTGAAGAAAAAATTTAGAGAGATTAAAAACAAAATTTAATATATTTAGAAGAAGCAAAAACTTATTAAATTTTTAATAATAATAATAATAATAATATATTAATTATTTTGGTTAAATAATATAGAAATAATAATAATAATAATAATAATAATAATAATAATAATAATAATAATAATAATAATAATAATAATAATAATAATAATAATAATAATAATAATAATAATAATCAATTCTATTTTATTCTTGATTACAAATATTATTTTATTATCAATACTATATGTAATTATGTTTTGTTGTTATTATTATTAGTTATAAATTAAAATTGTTTGTGCATTAAATATTTTAAAATTAATAAGTGTTATTATTCATTTAATTATAACTTTTTTTATGCAACTATCAATATATTGAAAAATAAAAGGAACAAGAATACAAAGGAAAATGGGGAACACCCACCAAAATCTTTTAAGAATGTCTAGAACAAAAACTAGGAAAATTAAAACTTGTTAGCCAAAAAACCATTCTTCAAAGAAGGAAGGATTCTGTCTGACCAACATATTAGAATAATATTGGTTTTATATCTATAATCTTTAAGTTTTGATGATAACAAGGTACAAAGAACAATTTTGTATGTTAACAGTGTGTTAAATGTGTATAGTTTAAACAAGTCAGAAGCTGGATATAGAAGACTCTGAACAAGCCAGATACTAGAACAAATAAGACTCTACAGACAGGGATCTAAAGATTGTCAGCATCTGATGAAACAAAATCTAAAGAAAACATATATAAAGTCTGATCTAAACAATTTGAAGATTTTTGAAGTTTGAAGTAAGAAGATTCCAAGCTCTGAATGATTAAGATCAAAGTGGTCTCTGATCAAATAAACTCTGAGTTGTAGATGCACTTTGCACCAAAAGAAGAAACAAATGCGTGTTTAATGAAATTTAAGCATCTAGATTATCAAGTCAACGCTTTTGAAAGAATCTATCCAGAAAGACTCTGAACTCTATAGACTCTGAACTCTCATTTCACCATATTCTGAAGACAAGCTCTGAACTCTATTCAAGCTTCAACAACGTGTATTCGGAGCCTCTGACTAGAAGATAATGACAACAAAAAAAGAATACCTGACAAGAGTACAACCAATACAAGATCAAATATTCATTCCACTACTATGAAAATCTAGAAAATAACAATACTATTGTGCCAAAGTTTATTGCTTTATTTCATCCTCTCATCCACTACTTGTTTCATGTTACTCCACTATATACTAATAAGCATCTCCAACATATATATATTTCTTGTGGATATTCCAACTTCACCCTCCAACTAATCTATTTCTTTGCATATATAAAGAGTTATCAGAAGCTTTGAATAGTAGAGATTTTGAATAGATTGAGCGTGAAAAATTACAAGTGATTGTTGACACTTTGTAAATAGAGAAGCAAAAAGAATATCACACCAAGAAGAAAAGAGAAAAGTGTTGAGAGAACTTAAAAGAATAATAAAGAGAGAAACACTTAGATATTTAGATTTCAAATCATTTTAAGTGTAATATTTTGATCTTCATTTTGTGTAATCAGCTTATTATAGAAGCAAATTTGTAAACACACAATCTTGTATTAACCTTTTAGTTGTATTCTTTGAGGGAGTAGGGTATAGTCAGAATCCTTGAGAAGACATTGATTGCGATCTTTGTGGTTGTAATCAAAGTTTTGATTAGTGGGTTAAGTCTTTATTGAGAAGGTAAAATCACCCTGGAAGGTAAAATCACCTTATGTCTATTATCATTGATGCAAATTTGTTGTTTGTATTCTTGAGTGAGCAAAACGTTTTAATTTAGAAACTCAATTCAACCACCCCTTTATTGTGTTTCTTTGCACCTTTACAATGGAAGTTAATTGATACTAAACCAAACACGGAAAACCTATTTTCACCTTTGTTCCATTCCTTGTAATGTAAATGTGATTCCCCATGAAGTTTATAGAAGTTGTGTTAAAAACACAAATTTCCCAACGATTCTGAAGATGCCATATGACAATGGAGAAATAAGAGAAAGCCCAGACCACACTTTTTGAATGCGTCTCAATCCAAAGGGGCCTTTAATGCATTTCTATAGCTATCTAAATTGCAAGATAGCTCATATAAACTAAACTTGAAGAGCATTACAATCACTAATACATAAGAAAAAGTTTGCTATGTGGTCATAAGAGTTATTTATAAATATACCTCCGCTACCACAAATTGCAGCAACTCAAAATGTTATACCATCAATGTTAGCCTTTAGTCAAGAAAACAAAGGTGGTTACCACCAAACTTCAATGATAAATAGAGGCTTCCAAGGCTTGATCATAACATCAAATTTTTTTAGTGTAATTAACTACTTCGCAAAGGGATTGATTGGCTTATTAGAGAAGTTACTTGCTAAGGATACCATGGAGTATATCTAAGTGATAATTATTTTGTAATGAGTTTTGATACCATTGAAGATAGTTTTGTTCATAATAGTCTAAATGGAATTTAGGTAATGAATTGAACCTGCAACAACGACCATACGGTATTGAGGAAACCCATTATGAAGGCATTCCAAATAATCAAAAATTGATCCAACCAAATGATCAAAGCCAATATAGCAAGAGAACCATTGCCAAATAGTTTTAGCAAAACCACATTGGAAAAACAGATGTTGCAGGGACTCTTGATGCTTGCAACATAAGAAACATCTAGAAGGAAGGTTGAATTCTCTTTTGATCAAAGAACAATTTGTAGGAATCTTACCATGAACAAAACTTTAAGCCAACAAACTAAAATATTCTTGCCATGGAAAGTAAGGAAGTTATTCAAGCAAATAACTTCAACTTAACTTTGTCAATAAGAAATTGGAAGTGCTTCAGTATAAGCTTACCTTTGAAGATGAGAAGTCCAAAAATTTCAATTAAATTTGTTATTATTTCAATTTACATTCTTAAAGTGACATAGATCAAATTATAGAAATATGTGTGTCTTGTCTTAATATAATATGTATGCATTTGTGTATTTTAAATTGTTCAAATGTATAACTTTAAGAAATATTGTTCAAACATACATACATTTTAATATCAGTCATGCATGAGTATATTTATACCTCTCCAAACATGTCCTAAATGAGCCATCAGATTTTTCTTTGAGTCAAGCACGGGTGTGTCGACACATGATGCAATCAGGTCGGCCTGAAATTATTTCAATTATTTTTCGTTGAATTTTATTCAGTATAGGCCGGCACATAAGTCCTATGTGCCGACACATAAATTCTTTTTCCACCATTTTTCAGTTTTGGTTCAGTATGTGCCGACACAAAAGTCGTATAAGTTGGCACATAAAGTTGAATTTTGCCCTTCCTGAGTAAATGCTTCAGTATAGGTCGACATATAAATCGCATGTGCCGATACGTAATCCACTTAGGATGACACGTGTGAACATATATGTGCATAGAATATTGCTTTTTCATCTTCCATCTTCATTTCTTATCTCTTAGTTTCATGAACCCAGATAAAAAAAAAATCTCTTTCACCCACAATAGTTTCGGACAAACTCTCCTCACCACCATCAATTTTTTCATAAAAGCTATCATATTCAAATCATTAAACTCTAATTCCTTCAATATTCTCACTTAACTCTCATTCAAAACCCAATATATTATGTCACGGTTTCTCTTGTCCATACATTGCATCTCTCATCCAAAAATCAATATATTGTGTGTGTGCATTTGCTGGTTCTTTGTATCTATCCTTGTCCTAACATTATTGTCATTTGTGGGCTGCACAATTATTTCTCGAATTCCAACTGTTTTGATTGGAACATTTTGTCAAACACCTTTCACGCAAGTTCAATTTGATGGATTCTTCATGGCTCCTAAGATTGCAAGAGGTAAAGATGCGGGTAAAGGTAAAAATAAGGTTGGTACTTCTTCAAGAGAATCAGAATCAGTGTTCGATTTGATTGATGAAGAGGACTTAGAGTTCTTT